AGCAATTCATTACTGTCAGTGTTGATCCAAAACCCACAACTGGTGTTGCCCTGGAGCAAATTCAGGGAATGACCCACCTAGGCTGAGCTTCCCCTCACTTGGACACGCACTAATTAAACAGATATCACAGTTATTCCCACCCCTGACACAAAATTCCACCCGAAATCCTGCACACTCCATGCCAGAAAGCAAAAGGGAACCTCTTAAGTGGCCTCAACTTCCATCAGAGAAGGTTAAGGTTGGATATTCCGAAAAATTTCTTCATGGAAAAGGTGACCAAGCCCTGGAACAGGGATGTGGTGGAGTTCCCATCCCTGGAAGTGTCCAAAAAACCATGTGGATGTGGCACTTGTTGACGTGGTTTAGTGGTGAACACAGGGGTGTTGGTTGATGGTTGGACTTGATGACCTTAAAGATCTTTTCCAACCTCAAAGATTCCAGGATTTTAAGCACAACTTTATCAGTTATCACACAATTTTATCAGTTATCAAATGTCATTAGAAATTCCAGCACTTCCATTGAGGTGCAAACCTGAGATAAATGTACAGGTATGGAGATGGGCCAGATAAGCTAATTTTTTAATAAAAAAATAGCAACAAATTTAGGCTTTACTTATTTTTCCTAGAGATTGGAACAACTGTGGAAGCAGCAAGAGTGCATTCCATTAACAACACAGCTCCCTGGATGGTTTTATCCTCATCAGCTAGATGGGATCTGGCAATACAAAAATCAGCCAAACAAGAAACTCACAAGAGGAATTTCCAGCCTTCCCCACATCCCAGATGCCATTCCAGTTGTGGACTATTCCAGCTGGATCATGATCCCACTTCTTAGTGCCCTTAATCTCTTTCCAACCGGTCAATCAGTTGATTTGGCTGCCTGAATTTCCGGGATGGACAAGAAGGGCTCAGGGAAGAATGGGAAAGCACATGGAAGCAGAGCTGTTTATCCAAGCACTGGGGATGATCCCAAGACATCCCTTCCCAAAAACCACGTGCAGGTTCAACGGCCTGAAGTAACACGGAGCAACTCCCACAGCCCAAAGCGAGCACAGAAGTTGCTCTCAACTCATCTTCCCCAAGCCTTTTCACATGTTTTGTTGTGCCTGTTATGTGTCATCCTTCCAAAAATGAGCCGGGTGCCATATGATCCACGGGAGTTGTGCAGTGCAAATTTAGAGCTGCAACTCCTTGAACTTCCTGAAGAAGCGAGAAAGCACAAGGAGTGGAAAAATACAGCCAGGGAGTGGAATAAAACAGGGGGAGAAGAGGGCAGGATTTTGGGAAAGGCAACTGGGGGGCATTGGGCACCTGGGAAATACAGGTGGGGTGACAGGAGACTTAATTTAGGGGGTAAATTTGGAGGTTTAATTCTTAGCAGCTCAAAACCCACGGGCAGGGACACCTTCCACCAGTCCAGGCTGCTCCAGCCTGGTCTTGGACACTTCCAGGGATCCAGGGGCAGCCACAGCTTCTCTGCCCAACCTGTGCCAGGGCCTCCTCACCCTCACAGCCAGGAATTCCTTCCCAATATCCCATCTCTCCCTGCCCTCTGGCAGTGGGAAGCCATTCCCTGTGTGCTGTCCCTCCATGCCTTGTCCCCAGTCCCTCTCCAGCTCTCCTGGAGCCCCTTTAGGCCCTGCCAGGGGCTCTCAGCTCTCCCTGGAGCCTTCTCTTCTCCAGGGGAACCCCCCCAGCTCTCCCAGCCTGTTCATGTCCCTGAAAATTCCGCTGTCACGGATTCCTCGAGCTGTCTCCCATAAAAACCACAGTTTACACTTTCCCAAAGAACATTCAGCACCTTTAAATACCGATTTTAATCCGCTGAAGGAACTGCTTGTTTGAGTGCTGGGAACAGTTTGTCTCTCTCAGTCTCAGAAAAGTTTAGCAGAAGGAAAGTATCTTGTTGTAATCTTTGGGGTTTTTTTAAGGTCCACGCAGCAGTTTGGCTCCAGAAATCCAACAGGTATTTTAAACACCACTTCCCATATAGTTTAAAAGAGATTTTCCTGCTCTCAGTTAGAATAAAACAGTTCCCAGCTGACACTGAGTCATATCCAGGGAAATATCTGACTGCAACAAGTTCATTTTAGGATCAAAATTGGGATCAAATTAAAGATGAAAGTTGGGGGGTGGGGGGAAAGCAGCTTCAAGGTCTCCAGTTTTGTTTTTGTGGCTTGTTTTTTCCTATTTAGGAAAGGTGGATTTAAGGGAATGTGGATTTTTTAGGAAAGGTGAATTTTAAGAAAGGTGAATTTCAAGAAAGGTGAATTTTAAGAAAGGTGAATTTTAAGAAAGGTGAATTTTAAGAAAGGTGAATTTTAAGAAAGGTGAATTTTAAGAAAGGTGAATTTCAAGAAAGGTGAATTTCAAGAAAGGTGAATTTTAAGAAAGGTGAATTTTAAGAAAGGTGAATTTTATAAGAAAGGTGAATTTTATAAGAAAGGTGAATTTTATAAGAAAGGTGAATTTTATAAGAAAGGTGAATTTTATAAGAAAGGTGAATTTTATAAGAAAGGTGAATTTTATAAGAAAGGTGAATTTTATAAGAAAGGTGAATTTTAAGAAAGGTTAATTTTAGGAAATGTGGGTTTTTTAAGAAATGTGAATTTTAGGAAAGAAGGTGAATTTTAGGAAATGAGAATTGTTAAAGAAATGTGAGTTTCAGGAAAGGAGAATTTTTTGAGGAAAGGTGAATTTTAAGAAAGGTGAATTTTTAGAAATCCGAATTTCTAAAAGTAAATAAAATAATAATTTTTTCCCCCCCAGATTCCCAGACAGAGATTCCATCAATACATGGAATAACCTGGGAATTTTGGTCTGATGGTTTTTTGGAAGCTGATGTCTCACTTACCGACACTGTTGATGCCAAAGAATTATAAACACAGACACAGAGTATTCTTAAAACATTAATTTTCACTCTTACTAATGCAAGGCTTTTAATTAAAACAAACAATCCAACCCCTGCTGCTTCTCCTGGCAGTGTACAGGGAAAAAAGGGGAAGGGAAAAAAGGGGAAGGGAAAAAAGGGGAAGGGAAAAAAGGGGAAGGGGGGAAAAAAGGGGAAGGGAGGAAAAAAGGGG